TGTGTGTGTATATATCATTTGTGTGTGGGTTATTTTTCATTCTCAGCATAGCAGAGACAAGGGTAGTGTTGTACAGTGAGCAGAGCTAAGATCTCATTTCGCCTAAACTCCACACCGTTCTCCTGGTTAGAGTCAAGAATAACGCCGATAAAGTCGCCCTTGGCCACTCCACCTTTCTCTCTGGATTGTATACGTTCGTCAATCATCACATTGAGAAGCTGGTGCAACCTTTCAAAGAGTTTGTTGCTACGCCCCTTGAGGCCCTGAGGGTCCAGGCCCCTGAGCATCGGGAAATAGTCTACAAGGTTGGGTGCACCAGATACTTCCATGATCGACCAAACGACATCCTCGAACTCCTGTGCTGACCCGGATTTGGGGTCAACCATTTCAGTCGAAAAGATCATGTTCGACACTAAATTCAGGGCTGTGACGAAGGCAACACGCCCTATGTCAACTACCTGCTCAGTCTGTCGTATGAGCTCGACCATCTCATGGACCTTCTGGTAGCGAAGAGCCTGCAAAGTGTCTAGCCGCTGGGGAGTGAAGAGTTGGGTGTTGCAGAGACGGCGGAGGGCTTGCCAACGAGGACCCATTTGAGCCCACACTAGCGACCCGTTATAGTGAGACTTAATCTTCATTACTTCGATGACTGTGCACCCCGCAAAGGCAAGGTTGTTCTTCTGTAACACCTCCGTGGCCATCTCAGATGATGAAACAACAATTGTTGTCACAAATCCAAGCTGCAAGGTCATGAGGCAGCCATGGGTCTCCGCAAGTGCAGCGAGGGCCTCGTGTGGCCTGCTGCCTAGCCTGTGGAGGCTCCCAACCATGGGGAGGCCCTTTGGGCCAGGAGGAAGGTGAGAATGGCGCTTCCTAATGAGAACCATGAGCGCTAGGGCACAGAGTAGCAGAGACAGGGAACATGCTGCTGTAGACCGTAAGGATTGCTCCATGGGCATGTTGTTATGAAAGGAAGTGTATGCTTTGCAAAGATGTAAGTTTCTGACTTGCTATTTATCCCATAATATGTGTGTATTATTTCAGTTGCGTGGACGGCCTGGAACCTATGGATGTGGGGCTCGCTTGCTAGAAGTGGACGGCGTGGAATCTATGGATGTGGGGCTCACTAGCTTGAAATGAACCAGCTTCTTTTTCTTTTATGAGTAATTGATGTAGGGAAACTAAAACAAAATTGGGAAAGAGGCCTAAGTCGTGGTGGTAGCACCCCCACACCCTAATCACGACGTTGTGGTTTTCATTTCCATCACTAAGATCACCACCCCAACAACACCTTCAAAAAGTGAACTCCTAATCTACTTTAAAAAAATAAGTGGAGGCATGCCTTTCCCACTGAATTACCCAAAAAGGAAAAAAAGGAAATACTGAAAGAGCCATTTTTCTTGAAAATTACACAAAAGGTCAGTCCTGTATGTTTTTTTTCCAATTTTCCCCCTTGGAATGATGTTATAAACATCATACTAGTATTTTACATCATACTAGTTTTTACTAGTTTTTACTAGTTTCCCACTGAATTACCGCTGGTCGAAGGTCTAGGACGTCAGACTACTCGATTTTTGGCCTTTAGGGCACAACGACACCAGTCTGAGGTCCCAGACTTCGGATCACTGTATCTGTGTCCTTAGGCCTCATTGACAATGGTCTGAGGTCTTAGACATCAGAACGCTTTGTCTTTGGCCTTAGGTGGCCTTAGGCCACATTCACACATGTCCAAAGTCCCAAACGTCATCCCGCTCTATGTATGGCCCTAGGCTACATTGGCTCGACCCTACGTTTCATAGAAAGCAAAAAATAAAATAAAATAAAATAAGAACCAGTCCGATGTAGATAACATCGGATCAAATGGCAAATTGGGAAAAATAAAAAACCACAGGGGATGTACCTTCTGCATAATTTTTTCGAAAAAATGACTCTTTTCCTATGTTACTATTTGTTACCTATCCATTCCTACCATATACTTCTTATATACTTCCGCCCTATCTAGCCATCTAATTTGAATGGATGGTCAAGGTTCCATGTCTAAAATGCCACTAGTGAGCCACTGGTCGAATATTCCAAATTTGATGTCTCCGAGTATTTCATTTTTAATTTTTGTACAAATCCTATGAAGATAAATTTTGGTATGTGTCATCTCTCAATGGGTCGCACCAAAAAGTAGTATTATAAAATATTTTTAAAAAATAAAATGCCTAAAATACACATGAAACTTTTAGGGGTATTTTGATCATTTTTTGGAAATTTGTTTTTTTATATTTTTGCAGGTGCGAGTTTAATAGAGGAGTGGATGCCCAAAATTTGGTGTCAAAATATTAAAAAAGAAAAATTAAAAATAAAATAGTGTATAATCGTGATATTGTGATTGTGGCTATCTTAGGGCCAAATTGGATGTACGTAAAATTGGAATATTTTAGGATTGCAATCGAAAAATCTTTTGAAATGGATTTTTACCGTTGGACAACTGTACCTTTTTTTCCAGATTTTTAGATTGAAAAAAAAAAAATCTATATCAAAGCAAAAAATGCCATTCAAAAAAATTCAACTTAGACTTGAATTTTTTTGGCTTGAGTTGCGTTTCACATGCCCCTCTCTCTATCCTCACGCTCTTCCCTCTCCTCCCTGCGAAACCCTTCTCTCTTTGCACCCGATGGCCATGGCCCCAAACTTCCTCAGCGAAACCTTTCTCTCTCTACACCCAATGGCCATGCCCCCAAACTTCCTCTGCAAAACCCTGCTCTCTCTACACCCAATGGCCATGGTCATGGCCCTCGATCTATCTCTATAGAGCGATGCCTGTTTCTTCTTCTAAGAGAGAAGCATCTTTATTGTAACCCAAGGAATAGAAGCACTAGATCAAAACCCTAATGAATTCATACCTCCTTATGAGCCTTGTTGATCCTTGTATCTGTAAAGGAAAGTCATTCACGGAATTTGAGATTGTGAATTTTTTGGAGTGCTTTTGTGATGATAGGACTTGCACTTCACCATCTCTCATATTGCCCATTCTTAGTTCCCATGCGCTTTTTTCTCTCTCGACTTCTGTTCTTGTTGCTTTGTGGGTTCAGATAGTATTTTTCAATTCTCTCTATAGAAACCCCAGGAGCCCCCAACTCTCTCTCTCTCTCTAGAAACACTAGGACGCCCCCTCTCTCTCTCGAAACCCCAAGTACGCATCCGCCTCCTCAACCTTGTGCTCCTCTCCTTTCTCGTTCTCTCTCTTGGGAAATCCCAACTTCTCTCACAGTGGAAAACTCAGGTTCCAATCTTCCCAATTTCTTTCAATGAACCCAGTTGTTCCCCACCCTCAATTTTCCCTCTTGACCTAACATCCGGACATGGGAATTGTCTTAGGTTTAGGGGTCATTAAAGAAGGAGAGCATGCCTGACATTTCACAGGAAGAGAAGTGGCTTCCAATTCCACAACAAAGGCGTCATAAGGTCAAGTTCTCTGAGATCGATGGTGGATTTTGTAGGGTTAACTGTCGCCCGAGCTTCTCCAATGCAAAGCCCCTAAAAGGGCGAGAAACGTTGGTTCTTGGATCCTCTCCATCGTCCCCTCCCTCTCTCGCTCTCTAGAAATGCAGGGGGTTTGAGAGGAGCTGGGAGAAAAGGGGCAGGGCAAGCATAGTGAAATTCACTGGCCCTGATTGTTTTGTTTTTTTGACAAGTAAATGAAATTTTACATCCAAACACTTTACCAATATAATAAAATAAAACGAGAATGTTTTCTAATTGAGATGGAAAAAATTGCATTTTTTTTGCTATGAATATTTTTTTCTATGACATCCAAACTGGCCCATAGTCCTCCATTCTGATTAGACGGCTGGGAGATGAGGAATATAGGAAATATATATATAGTGGAGAAGCATAGACTACATTATTCTAATGTGTTTTTTCCTTTGTGGCAGTAGTCGAGCTTGACTAGCACTTATGGCAATCAACATCTACAATTAAAAGGTAAACCTCCGTGCCGCCTCGTCACTAAAATAGATCTCCGAAAGGAAGGTTCGAGGTTTGGAATAAACTATGGTTCGGTTACGGTATGTGATGGTTATTAGTTATTATAAAATAATACACTAATATTATAATATTAGTTCATATTATAATGTATTATATGTGCTATGGCATGACATGTATGTTAGGAATAAGTTGGAATATTGTATGATATGGTATCAATATTTTATACTAAGGTATATTGCATGATATGATATCGATATATCTATAACTACAATATGAAGCCACAACAATATGTCGATAAAATAAGAAACAACCCTAATTCTATAGAGATTGTAAGATACATTCTTAACTTTGAAAGATAGATCACGCATCTATTTTAGGAGAAAGAGAGAGAAAGAGAACCATGGGAATAAAAAGCTTCCCATTTTTAAGGGGGGGAAGAGAGAAACCCGAGTGCCTAATTATATCTTTAAAAGAGAGAGATGTGGAGAGGACATTGAGAGAGAATTTATATAGGGAGCGAGATAAAGAGAGAAACCCAGAGTACATAAACATACATTTAAGGGAGAGAAAGACGTGGAAAGGACATTGAAAGAAAAAGCACGAGGGTGGATGCATATCGCTAAAATAAGAAGCGGCCCTAATTCTATCGAGATTGTAGGATACATTCTCATCTTTGAGATATAGATTACGCACCTATTTTAAGAGGAGAAGAGAGAGTATGCACCTATTTTAATATAAAAAATAATATTTAAAAAAAATAGAAAGATGCTTACCATATTTAGGAGAAGACAGAGAATCATGGGGATAAATCGCTTCCATTTTGAAGGGGGGGAAGAGAAACCTAGGGTGCCTAATCTTATCTTTAAGAGAGAGAAATGCGGAGAGATTATTGAGAGAGAATGTATGTGGGGGAGAGAGAGATAAAGAGAAAAAACTAAAGTGCCTAATCCTATCTTCAAAGAAGAGAGAAAGTCCTGGAGAGGACATTGAGAGAGAACTTACGTAGGTGGACACATGTCGAAAAAATAAGAAGGGTTTCGAATTTTATAGATATGATACATTCTCATCTTTTAGAGATAGATTAGGCACCTATTTTAAGGGAGAGAGAGTATGCACATATTTTAATATAAAAAATAATATTTAAGAAAGAGATAGAGGGTTATCATAGTGAGGAGAGAGAGAGAAACTCAGGGTGCGTAATCCTATCTTTAAGGGCGAGGGAGATCAGGAGAGGACATTGAGAGATATAAAGAGAGAAATCCATGTGGCCCAATCCTACCTTTAAGGGATGAGAGACGTCGAGAGGACATTGAGAGAAAAAGTATGTGGGGGCGAGAAAGTATGTGGGGCGAAAGATAAAGAGAGAAGCTTTGGGTATCTAATCCTATCTTTTAAGGGAGAGAGAGACGTAGAGAGGACAATGAGAAAGAAAGTACACGAGGATAAACAAATAAAAATAGAAAAATAGAAAGAAAATAAAGAAAATAGATAGATTTAAGGGAGAGAGGAGTACTTGTGAGAAGGAGATGGAGTGAAAATCAAGGGCAGAGATCATTGAAGATTTGTCTAGGTGACCATCTAAGGG